GGATGGAGCTGTGGGGGTGCAGGACAGAAGGCTGGGTGTGTTGGGGTGGGGGGGTGCAGGGCAGAAGGCTGGGGGTATGGGGTGGGGGGTTCACGGCAGATGGCTGGGGGTATGGGGGGTGCAGGGCAGAAGGCTGAGTGTGGGGGGTGTTCAGGGCAGAGGGGTGGGGGGTGCAGGGCAGAAGGCTGGAGTGCTGGGCTCGTGGGGTTGCTCCCAGCCCCCTTCCCTGAGTGGCTCATGGCAGGGGGCATGGCAGCGGCTCATGGCAGGGGGCTGGAAGGGATATGCCCTGTTGTTCTCTTTAGATACTTTCAGAAAATATTCTTGCTTACATTTCCTCCTATTTGTCTTTTAGTGGAATCTTAGGGTTTGAATCTGGTTCTTATTAGGCTCTTCACATGTTTGGTATTCTGTCCTTTGCGTTGTCTTCCATTCAAAGTAACATTATTAGTGGTTGTCATTTCTACCAGGAAGGTGATTGCAGCCCCTGATGGCAGATCCTTCAAAGACTGATTTTTCATAAAGAAAGCCATATTCCATCCTTATCCTAGTTTTTTTTATAATAGTTGTGTCAGATTTCCATCTTAAACTAGAACTTTATATTTTCCTAAATTCTCAGCTTCCTGTGAAGGCTGGGCTCTGTTGTCTGGATGTCAGGAACCTTGAGCTATTTAGACAGGCCTAAGCTATCTGGAAAGTCATATAGGCTGAATATGGCCTTTGTTTCCCCCTTGGACTTCCCCAATCTTTGCTCCAAAGCTCAAGTAAGGCCTGTTTACTAACTACTTATGACCAGGCTGAGGAGTGAACATCTGGAAGATTTAGGGCCCCTTCATTAAAGTAAGAGTTGCCTCAATAGCTTTCCTTTGGACCACATCAGCTTCTGAAATTCATAAGCTACCTGTTTGGAGTTCAGTTAATACTTTCATGAAGCACTACCTCCTTGACTGGCAGTCTAGGTCAGATACTTGTGCAGGGTAATAGTACTTAAATCTTTATTCAGTTAAGTCCTCCTGCAGCTGTGTACTACTTGCAAATCTTCTTCAATGGGAATCTGCAGTGGTAATTTCATGACGGTGGCAGGAAGGTTACCTACAAATAATTGAAGTTCTCCATGTGCATGTGTGGATTCATGCTCAACCTCCCTACTTTCCCATTTCTTCAGGCATCCTAAGCTACCAGGTGCGTCCCTCGAGTTTGAGGGAACCCTATACTTAATATGGGCTGCTCCAAATATATTGAATGAAGAGCCAGGGACTTATGATTGTGAGTCATGTGAACTATCTGTCCACGTAAAAAAAGTCACAATTATGGAAAAAACCCTGATAAGAGTCTGTGTCAGCCTCTCAGAACCATTACCTCAACTTCAAATAAGTCCAAATGAAGTATGAAGGGGCTTAACCAAACTCATGAGGAAGTTCATCACCTGAAACAAGATCCTAACAGCTAAAGCTAAAACTAGAATTGGATGCTGGAATATGAGAACTGTGTGTCTCACTGGGAAACTGAATAAAGTAATTTGAGAAATGACTCAGTTCAATATTCGCATTCTTGGAGTGAGCTAGATGAGATGGACTATTCTATTCATATAATATCAGAGTACTCTATTCAGGAAGGCAAGATGATACTCCATATAGAGGGAGTTGGAGTACTCCTCAGCAAAAAGGCAACACAAGATCTACAGGA